TCTCTTTTTCGAGATATGTTCCAGTTTATGGGTCTATCACTGCACTGAAATTTCTTATTAAAGTCATTAATAATATTCAATAATTCAGCCACTCACTCAACAAGTATTAATTAAATGTCAAAAGATTCTATGCTAAGTTTCAGATGTACAGCAGTGAACTGAATGGATACATCTGACTTTCAGGGAGTTTACAATCTGATGGGGGGTGTGCCAGTTTAACAGGCAAGTGTAATGCCATTTCATCAGTGCTGTGATAAAGGAATAAATGGTACAGCAGGAACATAAAGGAAGAGTACTTAATTCAGAATTGACAGGTCAAAGTAGATTTCTAGATGATGATATAATATCCAGAAAGAAGTTAGTCCTTAGAAGAATGAGGTAGCATATGGATGGCAATTCAGAAGTGGAATTACTGGAATTGAAAAAAGTTCAGTATGTATACAGTATGAAATGTGAGGGGAAGAATGTCAGTAATGATACTGGAAGTTTCAGTAGAGGACAGATCATCTTTGGACTTGTAATCAAGGCTAAGGTGTGTGGATTTAATTCTAAAAACAACAAAATGTCAATGGTGGTTTTTAAGCAGGAGAATAAGATCATACTTGAATTTTTAAAAGACCATGCTGGGGAATAGATTGAAGAGCTAGCTTAGTGTAATCAAAGAGCTTATAAAAACCATCTTCAAGCAAGAGCTAATGACAGTGAAATTTAGATATAAAGATATAGATAAGTTACAGGAAAAAAATGTATATCATGCAAACATTAATCAGAAGGAAGCTGAAGTGGCTGTATTAAAGTGGGCTTTAGGACGTTGAATATTACCAGGTATGGAGTGAAATAATAATGATAAAGGGTCAATTCATGAAGAAGATACACCAATCCAAACTATGAATGTACTCCCTGCATCTCTGTGGGGCCACATTTCTGGTTCTGGGGAATGGAATGTGTGTGGAAATGATGTGAGTTAATTTCCAGGATAAGGTAGTTAAGGGTCTGATGTTGCTGCCCATTTACTCTTCATGCCATGTGCTATCTGAATGATGCTAAAATGACCCTGAAGCCACAATATGAAAGCAGCCTGGGCTGCTGAATCACAGCTTAGAAGAGAGTCACCTGATCCATATCAGACTCAGATGCGAGTGTAAAACAAACTTCTATTGTGGCCATGAGGTTTTGAACTTGTTCGGCACAAGTTAGCCTTCTTTCCTTAACTGCAGCCCCTCCTGAGCCAAAAAGGAGCTCAGAAGGGATCTGGTTATCTACCACTAGATAGTGGTTTAAGCAATTATTATATTTTGCTTTCCTTTTACATTAAAGAGAGTAAAGGTTTTATTTTAGACTTTTTCATATCATAATTATTATTACTGCTAATCTTTTGAGTGATATTATTAATACTTAAACTAAGTTATCTTTCTACTTGAATCTTCCTCATTTTTTCTCACATTCTCCTTTTCTATAAAATATTTGAAAGGCATAATAACACTGTAAAGCTATATTTCATACTTCTGAATGTACGTCAGAGGAATAATAAAAATTGAATTGCTATAAATGCATAAACATATGCCTCTAAAATAGTATTTTCCTAAATATATGTACTTCCATATATATACATACACACATAAATTAGTGTCACGGGGTATAACTAAATATTCCTGAAGAATATTCCACTCTTTAAAAATTCAGCAGGTTTCATTATTATAATACTTCTGAGACTCTTTAATTTGTTAAGGCATGATTTGAGACTCTAAGGGTAAGACCTGTTTTTAAAGTTTTCCCAAACTTATAGGATTATGAATCTTTAATTTTCCACAAAGCATCTTGTAGAACTACTGTTATATAAAATAAACTTTGGGAAACACTGTTATGAAGAAATTATTTTATTTTCAACAGTCATATCAGATACTATTTCGTATTTTGATTCATATTTTTCAAGACCCTTTATGATTCAATTCTGCCATGCTACTGTTGGAGACCCTAGATTAGCAAGTGTCTTAGGTGGTGGCTGTGCTTCATTTTTTAAAAAAATTTTTTTTATGTCATTAAACTTTATGGTATGTGATTTGACATTTTGGTATCTCACCATTATTGTTAGTATTAGCATCAGTTTTCTGACTCTGTGCTTGGTTCTTCCTTATCTCTCCTTCCTCAGTGTAAGCTCTTATCATCTCTAGTCTGGACTACTGCAATTATCTGATAGGTTGTACCTTGCCTATAATCTTGAGCCTCAAATTTATACTTAACACTGCCCATGAATTGATCTTTATGAAAGAAAAAATCTGATTATGGCAATCCTCTTCTTAAAATCCTGTACCTAATCTCCATTGTCTAATGGCTTAATGGCTTCTTTCAAATGAAGAATCTTATCTTTCTTCAGTTGTAAGAAATTCTCGACTATCATACATTTAAATATTGCTCCCTTTTCATTATCACTAAGCTCTTAGATGCTGCAACTTCTAGCTCTATTCTCCTTATCCTTAACCTTTATTTCTTTATACCCATATTTTTATTTTCTTGTATTGCATTCTAAAGTGATTCTTAGGTTCAATCTTCTATATGTTGTACAGTGGTTTAGTAGGTGTTATCTGGAGTTGACACATGTGACTTTGAGTGAGTTTTATAAAACTCCTGTAGTTTAATTTTCTTATCTGTAAAATAAGGATCATAATAGCATTGCTTATTTGACTACTGTGAGGAAGAAGTAAATAAAATGTATGCAAAGCACTTAGAACAATGCTTGGCATATAAGTGATCCAATAAGTATTAGTATATTATTTTTTTTTTTAGCTATTAATTTGTTTTTCAGCTGCTTCCATTATGTTGCTCAGTCCATCTATTAATTATTTAACTTCAACAATTATGTTTTTCACTTCTTAACCATTTTATTGTTTTCTTATTTGTAATCATCTATGCTATTTCTTATTTTCTAAATATGATGTCCTGACATAACTCTCCATGGATATTAATTATACAATATATTCAAATTTATAACCATATCAGTTTTGATTGTTCTTTTAACTACTTATTGGGTATAAGGTCTTCAGTTTTGTCTCTCTTTCATGGAATGTCTTTCCTCAGATATTTTATCATTTTTTTATTATGCTCCTCTCCACAATGGACATTTTGTGTTGGATTTGCTGCTCCATCTGTATTGATAGCTTCCTTTTAGTGGTCTCATACTTCATCCATTACACCTTATCCTGCTTTTCATATTTTAGAGATTTCTCTTGACTTCTTCCCCACTGACAATCTTACAGATTTTTGAAAGAAGCTTACTTCAGAGAAAGTTTTTTTATGACTTGGCCTTTGCCTAACTCTTCTTCCTCATCTCCCACCATATGTTCCAGCTTCATAAACTGTATGCGATTCACTGATATTCCCTGCTGTACCCACAGTTTTCCTTTTCTAAAGCTGCCTCCCCTACTTAGACTAGCTGACTCTGAATTTCATTCCCCCAGTGTGTCAGTACAGGCCAACTCTTCTAGAACATGGTTTTCTCTATAAAGTTCTTTAATAACCCTTCTCCATCCTGGGTAGAATTGACCACTACTTTCTTTGTACCTCAGCCTAATTTAGCTCTTACACTCCTATCAGAGCATCAGTAATATACCATTATATTTGTTTATATGAGTGAAAGGGGAGAACATTAGTCATCATTTTTAACCCCTGATCTCCAACCTTCACTTGCCTTCAAAAGACGGCAAATGTCAAGGAATATCTTTCAATTTGCTGAGCTGGGTGATATATGAAGGTGCAAACTGGGAAGCTGAGAAAGGCTTAAAGTAGTACTATTTAAGGAAAGAGGTGGTGGAGGAAAATCCCAGAGTGGGAAGGAGGATGAAGTCAGACCCTGAGAGGCTAGAAGAGAAGGATTTTGGAGGAGGAGGGAAGGGAAAAAAAAAAAAAGTGTAAGAAGATTAGGGAAGATTCTTTGTGAGAAGAATGGGAAGAGGAAAAAGAAAGGGGATGACATTCTGTGCAAAATAATTTTGGGGTCCCCAAATTCTTGAGCCTGATATGTTTCAAAAGTCAAGTGATTCGTTTGTTTGTTTTGGTTCTTGTTTGATTTGGGGTTTTCTTTAAGTAATTAAAAAAGCCAGAACTTTGCATGTATAATATATTTTGTAAAATCCCCAGTAGGGTCTGGGGCAGCACACTGTGATCCGACGCATTAATATATTTTTCAGCAAAAAGTGGATATTCACACTAGTTTGGGTAAAGAAAGAGTGTAAGTAGCCTTTCAATAAGTTCACATTTGGTTTTGCTGCCAAATGGATTTCCTGCAAATTAATAAAAATGCTTTTGATTTTAAGAGTTTATTGGATTTCAGAATCATAACTAAACAATTGTGGCCCTGTGTAAGCCCTTGCTTTCACCTCCCTAGCAGATCCTTCTGGTCTTGACTAGGCTCACTTACGTGTCTGTGGTCAAATCCTGGGTCACTGACTGGTCTGGGATGGCCTGAGCTGGAATGACTGCTTGTCTCTGTTCTATGTGGTCTCCCAGCCTTCAGCCAACTAGATCAGGCTAGTTTACAGGGTGGCAGCAGGGTTCCGAGAGTGAGTGGAGGCACATCAAACCTTTTGGGAGCCAAGCTCAAAACAGGATCATTTCCAAGGCATTATTTTGTTAAATGAAATCACCAGCTTAGCCCAGATTCAAGAAATAGGAGAACACACTTTCTCTTGATGCGAGGACCTACAAAGTCAAATTGCTTAGCACGTAGAACAATTTGGACAATTTTGTAATCAAGCTACCATAATAATAAAATGCTGAGCCTGAACATAAAGTGGGAGTGGGTGGAAAACTGATGCTGTCCAGATCCAGTCATTGGTTGCCTTACCAATACCAATTTCCCACCATTCTCTTTTGTAACACTACTTGAATCTCCCTCTAAGTAACCATCTTTCGCTTTTGTGTAGTAGAACTGTGGTTTGGGGGATATTGACTTCTCTACCCTCTGCTCAAGGGTGCAAACTAATAAGCCTAATCACATTCCTCAGGCTACAGCAATTGGTCAAGAAAAAGGAAGGAACCCGTCTCAAGCCCAAAACACCGGGACTCCCCTAGACACACTTGACGCAGAAATATTCCAATCAAGGTAAAGTGCATAATTTTGATCAGTGGTTGAGAATGGAGGAAGTACATAGTCCCTGCTTCTGTTTAGAACCACAAGGTAAGTTAGCCTGAGGATAAACTGACATACAGGAGAAGGCAAGAGGCTAAAGAATCACAAAGAAACAGAATGAAAGTTAAGGTTAGACTGTGCTGAATTTTCTCTTACCTTTGAGGATCCAAATATGATATATTTTCATACATTTTCTATCTCATTAGATTCCTTGAAGTAGATACCAGGTTTAATTTATTTCCAACTCCCCAGTTTGAGCATAGTGTCTATCTCATCATAAGTCTAAAATAAGTGTTTGGTCAAGGACCCTATATAATCTGAAGCCTGCTGTAACATAGTTCTCCAGTATGAATAAAATAGAAGCAATATCTATAAATAAGAAAACAAAATGCAGTGAGTAGACCCCCAACTCATAGGGCTCAGTTCATATTTGTAAATGAATGTGTAAATCAATTGATAAGTGAAGAATTTAAAACTGAAATCTGTCATTTCATATAATTCTCCTATTTTGCTACAATGATAGCTAAAACAAACAGGTACAAATAAATGCCTTTGGTTTAAAAAAAAACCAAATAAATACCTCAACACAAAAAAATAAAAGTCCCTAATCAAAAGGAAAGAAATATTCCAGAAGAAACAATCCAATCCAATCATTTTTTTTTTTATGGAGAGTGGGTTTCAAATAAGAAGAAGAAAAGGAAAATAAGCAACAGAAGAAATGAATAAGTTCATAGTGAAATGTCAGGAGCATGGCACTTCTACAAACAGCATCCTTATTTTGCAAAATGTATAAGCAAGCTAAGCCTGATTCCCTAGTCCTTATTAACATTTTGATTTTGGTGCTCCTAGAAAAAGGGAATTCGGTTATCTGGCAATGGCTGTTGCAAAAATTAACTAAAATGGATGCTTTTCTAAAATGAGAACCAAATAGCAATGTGGAATGTTAGTTCTGTGAGATGGAACCAGAGCTCTTGCATGGTAAGAATTACATATTTCTTTGATCTTAATGGGAATTAGAACATAATGTATGTCTCAGCCTGCAAGATAAAACCCACCCTTTTAAAAATCAAGACAAAGTTACTTTAAGTAGCAATAGAAATGAAGGCTAAATATTGGGGGAATAAACACTGTAATGAACTGTAAAATACGTAATAAAAGAGACTGTCACTGTGCAGAATCAATGTCACTGTCTAAGCTACTGCTAAGCTATGACATGCATCTATCAAAAATACTTTAGAAATAATTAAGTGGATCATTACTGTATTACTCTATCTCCCCCTCACTGTGCAGGCAGACTAAGTACCTTACTACCAAATTCTCTTAACCCATTGGAGTCCTCATTTCTATTTTTATGCACTTATTAAAGTCTTATATATTCCTTATAGTCATGTCAGATGAGAATATGGCATGTCTTTCTTCAAGATTTATGATTAGGACGATATTGATAAAAATAGTTGCTATCTTAGAATAATACCAAGTAAAATGAAATTCAACATTTCAAATACAAGGCAACTTAATTTATCCACCCTTTACCTAGCAATAGTTGGTAATTATATTTTATTATGTTGCAGTCTGTACATCACATTTATTGCTCCACACATTTAGTGAAATTTATTGAGCACACACTCTGGTCAGGCACTACGCTAGATGCTGGGAATTCAGAGACAGAGGGACATATGACTAACATCTCTACTTGCAAGTGTTTCCCAGTGTAATACAGGCTAGCCTGTAGAAGGAACATTTCCCAATCTTTTCCTTCTTCCTAAAAATGCCGAGAAGTCCCAGTGGTTTAGTCTGCAAGCAGTTGTTCCTGTGTATTAAACATCTTGCAACCCATTTACCTACTTACGAGATGCTTTAAACGTCTCCCAACTTAACCAGTTGTTCAACTGAATCACTTTAGACACCTGGCATTCTACTGAGTAGAATGTGCTGATGATACTTCATAAACTGGGAAATTTTTTTTCACTGCCTTCTCTCAACAACAGTGAAGATCCAAGTTCTCCTGAGGGAAAGATAGGAAGAAACTACCTTAAAATTATCAGAAAAATCAAGCATTCATTTGATTCTCAAGCTAAACCAAAAGGGAAATAGTTGGTATGTTTTGTCATAGAAAGTATAATGAAGTAAAAGACTCCAAAGTATTCCCCTTCCATCTAGCTATGAATTAATAGTAAAAAACACCGTTAAGGGCCTTTTATCCTCATAAATATTTTAAATTTCGTGACCAGCTGTGCTTGCTATTTCTCTTTTAATTGAGCTGTGAGAATCCAATCACTGGAGTGGGTTAGGAGTTCTGACAATCTCAAGGGATTTTCCTGCTATCTCTGCTACCCCAAAGAAGCTGACTTTCGATAGTTTGATTATTGGAAGGAGGGAGAAGTTGATTTCAAATTAATGCATATTTTCAGATGTTTGTGTAAATGTGGATAATATTATTTTAAAAAGAATCTTATTTTTAGGAGATAAAATGATTTATATTTCAAAACCCATGATCCAGAAATGTGTGGGTGTCATAGTCATGTATCTCAGACCTTGAATCTGTTCTCTCTCTCTTTGAATATGAATTTGTTTGTACCGCGCTCTCTTCAGTAACTTAGATGTTGAAGCACTTCAGTCTTGCCTCAGCGCTCCCATAATCCTCTGCACATATCTCTGCAATCATATTTACCACACTGTTTGTCAGTTTCAGTTCCCATCTTCGCCACCAAAAGGCAACTCCTGTAGAGGAGGGAATATTGTTATTTATCTCAATATCTCCAGTGCCTAGCAGAGTGTGGAACCAAAAAGTCAAAGCATATTGGATAAGAAAGGAAGGAAGAGGGTGTGGGGACAGAGAGAAGGAAGGAATGAAAGTAAGGAAATATGGAAGAGAGGAACGTGACAATCAACAAGTGGAAAAGTAGGAGTTGGTTAGAAACTCTCCATTGTAACATCTACTTGGCAAAAACATCATGTTTGTTAAAAGCTAAATGTGGAAGATTTGTCAAAGAGAAAGAAACACTCAGGGGTAGAAAATGACTTCAAATATGCAACAGGTTGGGGCTAACTTTAGTAAACTCTTTAAAAGCACAGGGACCCAAAATAACTATTTACTATGAAGTCTCAAAAATACCACAAAAATAACAATATGAACTTGGGCTATAACAACTTGACCTCAACATTTATACTTCATGTGGCTGTTTAAGACAAATAGTCACAAGTTTTTTGATTTGACCAAGAGGTGGGATCTATTTCCTCTCTCCTTGGATCCCAGTGGGGCTGTTTCTCATTACTGACTGCTAGAATGCAGAAGGAGTGACTTCGAGTGACTTTCTAAGCAAGGCCGAAAATGGCTATGCAGCTTCCATCTTGTTTACTGGAACACTCGCAGTCCTGAGCCTCCATGTTGGTGGTCTGACTACTCTGAGACCAATGTATGGAAAGGCTGTGTGGAAGTGCTCAGTGGACATCCCAGCTGACTTCCCAGCAAACAGCTTCCATCAGCTGTCTTCCCTGTGAATGAGCTATCTGGGACAATCTGCCTCATTGAACCTTCATATAAATGCAGCCCAGACATTAATTGACTGTAACTGCTTGAGACGCCCAGGAAGAAATGGCCAGCTGAGCTCTTCCTGAACTTTTGACCAGAAAATTGTGAACAAAATAAAATAGTTGTTTTTATTTACTAATGTTTTAGAGTAACTTGTTACACAGCAAAATTAGCCAAAATCCTTCTGTTTATGGAACCTCTAGTCAAGACCTACTTAAAGCAGTTGGGAGGTCAGGTCCAGCCTGTTTAATAACATTTTTCTGATACAAAAAGCAAGTTTAAAAAAACTTTCCCTTGGGCTTCCCTGGTGGCGCAGTGGTTGGGAGGCCGCCTGCGGATGCAGGGAACACGGGTTCGTGTCCCGGTCCGGGAGGATCCTGCATCCCGCATGCCGCGGAGCGGCTGGGCCTGTGAGCCATGGCCGCTGAGCCTGCGCGTCGCAACGCGAGAGGTCACAACAGTGAGAGGCCCGCGTACCGCAAAAAAATATATATATATATAAAAGAACTTTCTCTTAAATTTTTTGAAGAAATTGAATCTAAATGGTTTTAATTAGTGAAGGAAAATAGCTGAATACAGGAGAATATTAGTCACATACACATCATTTTTTAAAATTTGAAATAGTTGAGTATTTGGCAGAGTTTATTGATTTAGAAAGCAAACTTGGATAAACTTTTGGTTAGCCCCACTAAAGTACACATCTCATCTTTAAACATTTGTAAGCCTTGTACTAACAGTTATAGCTGAGGTATGTGTGATGGATACATAAGGGGGAAAAGACAGGAAAAACCCACTGAACAAAAAGCTAGGTAATATTTTAGACAAAACTGAATAAAAATGCTATTTCTTCTGTAAGCAGAGAGTATATAAGTAACACAAAACAGGGATTCCTGAAGATATTCATTAAGACATAATTTAGGGTTAAATATATATATATATTTTTTTTTTTTTTTTGCGGTACGCGGGCCTCTCACTGTTGTGGTCTCTCGCGTTGCGACGCGCAGGCTCAGTGGCCATGGCTCACGGGCTTAGTTGCTCCGCGGCATGCGGGATCCTCCTGGACCGGGGCATGAATCCGTGTCCCCTGCATCGGCAGGCGGACTCTCAACCACTGCACCACCAGGGTTAAATATTTTAAAAGAGGTCACATATGGTTGGAAAGAAAGAAAAAGTTAAGTTTCAAAAGTGGAACCTAATGAACCCCAGAAAGTCTTCAAATTGTCTTAAGAATAGCTGAGGTTTTTCCTTTTTTATTATATAGCAGTTTCATGTGAAGTTTGTGGTAATTACTAGATACTGAAAAAACCTCCTGTTGGCAATCCTGGATCTTAAATGTCTTTTGAAGTAGCTCACAATATGGCAAATTCTAGAAATGAATGTAGCGTGGATCTTTCCTCCTGGCAAGAACATTCATTCTGAGAATGAAAGTTAAGGGCATTTA